GATCTTGAAGGGCAACTGGGGTCAGCTTATAAACAAGAAGAGGAGTAATGGCGCCAAAAATCTAGGGTGGGTTGGCTCCATACTGGTGACTGTAACTCCCACTTCTTTCACCTAACGACGAAACAACGACGTCGTGCAAATACCATTCTTACCCTGCAGGATGATGTTGGCATCATGCACTCTAAGGAGGACGCGAAGGCTGGCGTGGCTATATCCTTTTATCAGCACTTATTTACGTCTTCCGGGACGGATCCTAGAGACTTTGTGCGTAGTCTACAATTGCCTAGGGTCATTACTGATGACTTGAATGAGGTGTTGCTTTCGCAGGTCACCGAGGAGGAAATTCGTAGCGCGGTGTTCAGCATTGGCAAAATGCAGGCGCCGGGATCCGATGGCTTCACGGTCGCGTTTTATCATAAGTTCTGGCCGGAAATCGGCCGAGATGTGACTGAGGCTATCCTCTCCTTCTTCCGTACGGGTCGTTTGCTGCACAGCATCAATCACACATGGCTTGCTCTTATTCCAAAAATTCCCAATGCCAATTCCATGCGGCAAATGCGGCCAATCAGTCTCTGCCAGGTTCTTTACAAGATCATAGCTAAGATCCTTGCAAGCCGGTTAAGTCAAATTCTGCCTTCCTAGTTAGTCCCTCTCAGAACGGTTTTATCAAGGGACGTTGCATTACTGATAATGTTCTCATTGCCCAAGAGATTATGCAATTTTTGAAAACTAAAGTGCAGGGTAAAGAAAAGTGGATGGCACTAAAGCTGGATATGGAGAAGGCGTATGACCGGGTGGAGTGGGAATTCCTTTTCTCCGTCTTGTCTGCTATGGGTTTTGCGGGCGGCTGGCTAAGATGGATTCGTGCTTGCGTTACTACAGTTAGCTTCTCAGTCCTTATGAATGGTGTTGAGTTTGGCTACTTCAAGGCTCAGCGTGGTGTCAGGCCAGGAGATCCGCTTTCCCCGCTTTTGTTCGCTCTCTACACGGAGGCCTTCTCGGCTGCGTTGACTTCAGCCATTTCGGCCTCTTCTATTCATGGTCTACGGGTACATAAGCTAGCCCCTCTCATGTCTCATCTCTTTTTTGTCGATGATACTTACTTATTTCTACGGGCTTCGATCCCGAAATGTGCTAACCTCCTTCACCTGCTTCATGAGTTTGGTCGTTTTAGTGGTCAACGTGTTAATCTTCAGAAATCTGCAGTTTCTGTTAGTCATAATGTCTCGGAGCAGGAACTGGATGCGCTCACTGCGTTCTTGGGAGTTTCAAAGATGGAACCAAGGGATAAGTATTTGGGGCTGCCCACTCAAGTTCAGCGTTCTAAAAACCAAACATTTCATTTCATTGAAGAAGCTTTGGCCACACGTATCCGGAGCTGGAAGTTGAAAGCTTTGTCCATGGCAGGGAAGGAGGTTGTCATCAAAGCAGTTGGTTCGGCTGCACCAGTCTATGCAATGTCTTCCTTCCGTCTTCCCTCTTGGACTTGTAGGCGTTGCAACAGTTTGCTTGCTAACTATTGGTGGGCTAGTCAGGACAAAGAAACTGGCATCAAATTAGGGGTGGGCATTCGGTCGGTTCGGTTTGAACCGAACCGAACCAGAACATCCCGAATTTCCGAGCTTCCCAAGACCCTGACCGAATTCGAACCGAGTTGTAATTCGGTTCGGTTCGACCGAACCGAATTACAACTCGGTTCAGTTCGGTTCGAACGGTCAAAACCGAAAATCATGCTGCCCACCGTTTTTGCCTGCTACCCACCGGTTTTAAGGCTCAACCTCTCCTATTTTCCACTTTCCAGCCCCAGATTAATCCCTCTTCTCTCTCTACTCTCTAACCTCTCCTCCGTCATTGAAATCCGCCACCCACTTGGTCCCATTCCCCGCCACCGTCCCCCTCCCGACCGTCGACCTCACCGGCATCGCCTTATTCCCCTGATTCCCATCCACCACCACCTAATCCACCACCTTGAACTCCCCCCTCCACAATCGCCTGATTCCCATCCACCACCACCTGATCCACCACCTTGACTCCTCACCCCCTTCTCTTTCTCTAGTCTCTCCTCCCTCTCCAAACTCGTAACGACAACTAGCAACAGCAGTTGAAAGGGGTAGCGGCAGGCAACAACGGCGATTTCATCGCCTGCATGTGGTCGGCGGCGACCCGATTGAAGAGGAGGAAAGCTCCCCCGCCGCCGAGGATCCCTCCCAGGGCCGTGAAGAGAGACGAGGCGCGCCGCCGAAGATCTGAGATAGGGTGCCGTTGCATGTCGCCGCCAGATAGGAAGTCGCCGCCGTCGCCGATCTGGGATAGGGTGTCGTCGCATGCCTCTGTAGATCTGGGATCTGGATCCCTCTTGGGTAAAAGTAAAACGATTCTGTTTTTGTTTAATTCAGATTTTTTGTACGCTTTTGCTAATCTATGGTTTTGTTTTTGGTTGGTTTTTCGAGTTTCAATGGTCGGCGATGAGAAGAGAATGGAGAGAGGCAGCCGTCGGCGGTGGTACTGATTGTCTTATATCAACAGGGATGGCGACGGCAACAAGGCAGCACGATGAAGAAGAAGAGGCTTTTGGACTTGGCTAGGGTTAGTGTTAGAGATAGTGGGCTTGGGTTGGGGGCGGCTATGGGCTTGTAATTGTGGGTTGTATGTGTGAGGTGAAAATTTTCGGTTTGTTCGGTCGGAATTCGGAATATCGGGTTCGGTTGAGCAGACCCTGGTTTCCGAAATATAGGGTTTTGCCTTCCGAATTCCGAACCGAACAACATTAGTTCGGTTTCGGTTCGGTCAAGTTCGGTTTCGGTTCGGTCCGGTTCGGGTTTACCGAACCGGATGCCCACCCCTACATCAGATGGCTATCTTGGACCGCAGCCTGTCAGAGTAAGTATCTTGGGGGGCTAGGTTTTTGGGACTTTAATCGCTTCAATGTGGCTTTGCTTGCTAAACAGGCTTGGCGAGTGCTTCTGAACCCTGACCACTGCTTATCCAAGTTATACAAAGTCATATATCATCCTCATTTGCATTTCCTTGATGCTGAGAAAGGACACATGCCTTCCTGGGCTTGGCAAGGTGTTTTGGAGGGTCGCGATTTACTCAAGCGTGGACTTCGTTGGCAGATAGGGGATGGGTCTTCTGTTCGTGCTCTTGAGGACCACTGGCTGCCCACTTTGCCACCTTCGGCTCCATCCCTGTTGGCGGGTGTTATTCGTCCTTCTCTACGGGTGGCCGATTTGATTTTCAGTGATGGAGGGGGTTGGAACAAACCTTTACTATCTTCTCTTTTCCCCTCCTCCACAGTGTAGCTCATTATGAGTATTCCTCTTCCTCGTCATTCTTCACAAGACAGGATGATTTAGCACTACTCGCCTTCAGGAGAATATACGGTAAAGTCAGGTTACCAGGTGCTCACTGATGAGTTGAATGCTCTTCACCCTCCCCCAGTGCTTCCTTATGATTGTAGGTTTTGGAAACTGCTATGGAGCTTACCGCTGCCTCCGAAGCTTTGCAACTTCGCGTGGAGGATGGCTAGGGGTTTTCTTCCCATCCTCACTGTTCTCCTTCACAAGACAGTGGTAGACTCAGCAACTTGTCCAGTGTGCTCGGATGGTGTGGAGTCTTTTGGACATTGCTTCTTTCGATGCCGGGTTGCGCGTGGTGTTTGGGCTCTGGCAGGATTTGACCAAATTCGTTGCCATCTGGAAGCTTTGGATTGGGATATCTCATGGAAACATTTGTTTTTCTCCTTGCAGTTATCTAAAGCGCAGATAGCTGAAGTCATATTTCTCTTTTGGAGAATCTGGAAGGGTCGATGTTGGGCGGTGCATGGGGGTATCCAATACTTACCTTCTGCATTGGCCCATCAGTTTGCGACCCAAAGAGATGAATGGCTTGTTGCTTCTCAGGATAACTCGTCGGTGGATGCTGCTGGTGTGCGCCACGTACCTCGGGCTGCTCCTCTGCTCTCTCTTGGGAGTTTTGTCCTCTCAAGCTCCGGGAGGTACGGGTTCTCTTTCTCCGGCAATAACGGTGGGCTTTCATGGCTTCTCTCGTCGTGGTAGAGGTGCGGGCGTAGGATTCGTTGGGTTGGACTCCTCTAACCAACTCCTCTGTGCTATGGGTAAGTACTATGAAGGCATTACTAATTCCCTCATTGCTGAATTGTTAGCCTTCCGTGACGCTCTAGATTGGTGTCTAACACATGGTTTTTTGTCTATCAATTTTCATGGTCAATCGCATATGGTGGTTCGACTTCTCTTGGCGGGAGACTCTCTTCATGCTTTGGCTGGGGCAATCCTCGCTGATGTTCGTCAGTTAACAAGGAGACTCGAGTTTTGTTCTTGCTCCCTTGTTACTCGTCGAGTTAATAGAGCAGCCCATTTTGTGGCCCAAAACGCTCTCTCATCGGAAGTTCGGCGATTAGTCGACTTCCGCCCGTGGATTTGTTCTGTACTTTGACTATGCACCAGACTTATGTCTGGTTTTGACTATGTTAAAAAAAAAAGATAGGGGATGTGGCGTACAAGTTGAAATTGCCCCCGGGGTCGACTATCCACCCTGTTTTCCATGTCTCCCTTCTGAAGAAGGCTCGGGTAGGCAGCAGTGTTTGGGTGCAACCCAGTCTTCCTGTAGTGGATGAATAAGGGGATTTGAAGTTAGAACCAGCAGCTATTTTGGCAAGGCGAGTTGTGGCGCGAGACAACAAGTCCCTGGCTCAAGTTTTGGTGCAATGGACTCATCAACAAGCTGAAGACGCTACTTGGGAATCATGGATCGAATTTCAGGCCAACTTCCCAGATTTTCAAGCATGAGGACAAGCTTTTGCTGAAGGAGTGGGGAGTTGTAACGAATGGACTATTCTGGACATATATAGAAGATAGGTGTTGAGGTAGGAACTTGTATAATGGGGGACATTTGGTTATTTGCCATTTGTGTATAAGACAAACCCGCCAAGACCGTTGTAACCAACTTTACAGATAATACAACTTTACTCTTTCCCTCTCCTTTCTCTCTCTTCTCTGTCCCTTCTCAATCTCTTCTGCAATTCTTCTTCTGGTTCGAGATTCTTCTCGCCAAGAGTCTTCTTCTTCCCCAGGACGTGACAGAATGCCCTCGACGCCGCAGAGCGTGTTCGCCGCGAGGCTGAACGTAGAGGCTGCCCCGTCATCCTGAGTTCCATGGACGAGTTTGACGCTGTAAGTTCTCCACCAAAGTCTCTTCCTTTTGCTTAGCTTTCTCTCTTTTCTTTGTATTTATCTTATTTAGGAGGCAGGGTGAGAAAAAATTGTTCTGTGAATCCTCTCTTGTTTGAGGTTTGTATTTGCTATGCCAGAAAGTGGGAGGAACAGCCGCGCTGCTATCTGGAAAGTCACTTAGGTTTTGCTCTAAAAGGGTTTTGTGCCGGCTAGAATCTAGTTAGTCTTCTGTTTGGTTGTGTTTGGAGCTGTGGTGAAGCAAAGGAGACCTGTCTATGCATCATGGATGCGGTCTACTTTGTTACTACGCATGGCAGTTTGCTTTGCGTTTTGTGAAATGCAAAGAGAAGATTATAAGAAGTAGGAAGTGATCCTATTGAAGGTTCAAGAATTTGCTTGAATGTACTAATTTCCTGTGATACATTCGTCCACCCTGGTTACCCTATCTATTTCCTGTTTCCAAGGAATTTCTTCCAGTGATAATATTGAGGATAGCATGTTTTAGCTTGTTAGCTGAAACCATAGAAAAATCAATTGGCTGTTATACGTCATCTTCCGTCTTCTTGTCATCAAGAATCTTTGTAAAACCAGTACTTTAAACTGCGTCCATTTTCCTACATTGCAGAATTCATTAACCTTGGAGAAGACCGTAATCTTTGTTGTCTCTACAACAGGGCAGGGAGATGCACCCGATGCGATGAAGGTTACTCTGAACTGAATGAATCCTCTTGTTTGTTGTATTTACTGTGATCATCTGGGTCTGTAGTTCTTACTGATATCCTTCTATGTTCAATACATGTAGGTTTTTTGGAAGTATCTGCTGCAGAAAAATCTTCCAGAGTCTTGGCTGGAAGGAGTTCACTATGCTGTCTTTGGATTGGGAGGTTCTGGTTACCAGAAGTTCAATGTAATATTCTAAATCTTTCAACAGTGTTGGATAATATCTCTCTTTATATAGTGTTGAAGAAATGCGCGGTAATCACATTGGCTACTCAAGTTCGGGTGAATCTGTGTCGCGGTAAATTTATTTCCCAAATGATACAAATCTGGGGTGCAATGCACTGTGAATTGATAGATAAATAATCGTGGTGAGGTTTGTTTAACTTGCAATGGGTAACTAATATTAACAATATCGGTAACAGCAAAGAACTTTGTACAAGGTTTGAGGATTGAGTTATAAATCCTCATGAGGACCGAACTTTGTACTTCACAGAAATCTAGATACTGTGTAGTAGTTAACTGAAAACTGTTTCGGTGCTATTGCAGTATTGCTGCAGTTTGTTGCAAAGAAGCTGGACAGGAGGCTTCATGATCTTGGGGCAAAGTAACAGGTGATTGAATCAATTAGAATTTCTCTTTTTTTCTTTCTCTGGGATGAAAATTATCCTTCCTTTATTTGGTAGACTGTTAGCATCAAGCTAGGTGCCAATGTTATTTTAATTAAGCTTAACTAAGCTGCTAGTTCCTTGTGTTTATAGATTTGCCCTGTTCACCTGGCGATACAGCCTGCATCCTATTATTGTTGCTTTTACTGACGTGATTTATGGTGCTATAGATGTCAACTTTAATATATATTTGCTGTTGTAGTTTCTTCATTGCCAGAATACTTGAGTGCTTGAAGCTGTAACTGCTTACACAAGTTGATTTTGTGGAGGAATTAATCAGCGATTACTGTTTCTTGTTTATTCAAACAGACTCAATTTTCTGAGACTTTCCTCACTGCTTTGTCACTGGTGGTTGTTTCAGATTCAAAAAGTCCTGCAATGGAGATTGAGAGGGCTCGCTCGATGTCTCCTGCAAAACTTTCTTATGACAAGAGTACTCCTGATGCTTTTCTTAAAATGGTAGGGGTTAGTAATAGGGTATGCTTCAATATTGTAAAAATGTTAGATGCTGCAGTATGCACTTCCACATCATTGCTTAATAGTACTATTCTGGGAGTTATTCACTATATTCTCCTTTTGCAATTTGATAGATTTTGGTACACCTTTTTTATTTGCGGTATACACTTCCCTAATGTAAAGAGTAGATGTTATGTATCCAAAAATAGTGAAGCCACGACCTAATTATAGCCGTGATCTTATCCACCAGCACCCCACACTCTCTGCTTGTCAGCTGCCCCGCAATAAGTGGAAGACCCAGATATCGAACAGGTAATTTCCCCTCCGTAAAACCAGATAAAGAGAGGGCATTTTCCTTAAATTGAGTAGCCATGCCTCCAAAAAAACACCTCACACTTCTTTGGGTTACAACTCAAACCAGACAGAGAGCTGAACTTATTCAAAATCTCCTGAACCTTAAGCAATGCTACTGCAGATCCCTCAGTGAAGATCAATAGATCATCTGCAAAGCACAGATGAGTGAGGTCTATTGATCTACACTGAGGGTGATATGGTATCTGCTTTGTCACTGGAGCATTATCCAACATTCCAGACAGGGGTTCAAGTGCAATAGCAAAGAGATAGGGGGAGAGGGGATCTCCCTGCCTAACCCCCTTTTGAGCTTTGAAAAAAACCAAACAAGGAACCATAGAGATTGATGCTGAAATGAGCTGAGCTAAGACACACCCGAATCCAATCCATAAAATCAGCAGGGAATTGCATAATAGACATCACACAGAATAGATATTCCCAATGAACATAATCAGACGCCTTATGGAGATCTATCTTAATGGCACAGCGAGATGCTATAGTTTTCTTTGAGTAATGATGGACTATCTCTTGAGCCATCAAGATATTGTCCAGAATACTTCTCCCTTTGATGAATGCAGATTGGTTCTTACTTATAACTTCAAGCAAAGCTATCTGTATTCTGTTTGCTAGAATCTTTGCAATTATTTTGTATAACACATTGATGCATGCAATTGGTCTAAAAGCAGTTAGTTTATCAGCATTAGGGATTTTTGGTGCCAAGGTAAGAGAGGTTGTGTTAATACCTCTTGGCAGCTGCTTTGTCCTAAAGAATTCCTTAACTCCAGCACAAATATCCTCGCCAATTAGACCCCAGTGCTTTTGATAGAATCCCACTGTCCATAGCAAATAAAGCCAGCCTTATTTCCTCATTCAACACCTCTGCACAGAGTATGGCCTTACTTGACTCATTAATGTACCGTGTAATAAATCAAGAAATGACAGTATTATCAGGACAAACTGTAGGGTTGACCACTCCATAAAGTTCCTGGTAAAAGTGAACCGCTTCTGAAGCTATCTCTTCCTCATTAGTGATCTCCCTTCCAGTGTCACCAATCAGCTTTCGTAATTGCTTCCTGGCTTGCCTGATCTTCACTGATTTATGAAAAAATCCCGAGTTCATATCTCCCAAAACCAGATATTGAATGCGAGATCTTTGCCTGTAAAAACTCTCCTCAGCCAGTCTCAGCCTGCTCAGCTCACTAGTAAGCTCATGAACCCGAGCAAAGGTAGACGTGGAAGGAGTCTCCCTTGCTTGAGTCTGTGCTGCCTTAAGGTTGAAATAGGCTAAAAAGGTTATAAATGAACGCATCCATAATATGTTATTCTATTAAAATTGTACACAAGAAAAAGGATTACGTGAATCATAGCTATATTAAATTTATGTCTAAATTTTAAGCCGAAGAATGCATTAGATTAGGGAGACCATTAGAGAAAAACATGGCGAAATATCTTAATTTTCTCATAAGTATGGCTATATACGACATAAATATTTTTTTGGATACGAATTCATACCAATAATTGGAACATGGGTTGAGTCGAGTTCTACGGGTTGTGTAATCCTAAATCCAAACCCAACCCAAAAGATGCAGGTTGTACAAAAGAAAACCCTCACCCAATCCAAAACCTTCGTTTTAACGATAAATACGGGTGGATTGGATCGGATTGGACATGTGGATCTGTTTGCGGGGTGTGTTTGTTCACCCTAGCTTAAGCAGTCCACTGACATGAGCCCTTCTGATTTTCCCACGAAACCCCCCTGATTATCACTTTCTAATTCCCTCGCAACTAACGCCTACCCACCCAATTCCTGGTCAGTTCCTTTTTCCTCTCTCAACCATACCTTTGTTCCTAAATTGGTACCCAAACTTCACTTTCTCCACTTATTAAGACCTAGGCAGTGGACAAGAACTTTGTTATCTCCAAGTTGGCTCCAATCAGTAGCGGAGCTAGAAATCCAAGCGGAAGGAACGAGAAAAAGATGAGCAAGGCATTCGAACCCTAGCAGAGCTAGGCACGAGTAAACAATTCGTAGCAACTAGGTAGGGGGAAACAAAGAAGTTTGAGGAACTTGAATCCTTGTAATTAAATATGGGGTTCGAACTCTTATCGGTTGGTTATACTTATTGATTTGCTACAAGTTTGATGCCTAATTTTAACGATAGTTTGAAAGTTGAGAAGAGAAATGATCTTCCCTGTGAAATAGTTCAGCACGTGGTCCCAACTATATCGATAACGAAAATGTAAATTACAAAAATATATGGTTGAAAAATTTATTCGGATCTATAATTTGATCGCGTGACATGAAAGTGGAGAAGTCATCGTTATCGTTGCTTGAGACTTGTCAACACACTTTGTAAAATCATCATCTCTCTAAATAATGAAAACTCTATCATCGGAACGAAAATATGGCTACAAGTATTGAAACCCAATGCGAGTTTGGAAGTCCTATGTTCATGAGGTTGAATCTCAATGAAATAGATACACATAACTGCATTGGTGAGAGAAATGCAGTCACGGTCTAGCCGGCTAGTAGAAAAGGAAGACGATTGCTTCAGTTCGGTGCGTTTAAGGAGAGGTTGCTGGCGGACGATCTGTTCTTGGCGAAAATCGGGATTGAGTGCGGCGTCGGCATCTTCACCAAGGTACAAAAAGGGAATCGGCGATCTGTAGCTTTATTGTCCAATTGAGAAAGCCCCTTTTCATTGCTCTGTTTCTGGTTTCTACTCCCCCCCTCGTTATAGTGTCAAATCGTAAATCTGGATTCTGCTTTTTCATTGTCGTCGCCAAGCTTTTTTTTACCCTGTTTGGCCATTTGGCCAAAGCTTGCATCTTTTTCAACTGGGATTTGCTGATCATTGGCTGAAATTGGCCCTCATTCATTTCTTAGTTAATGTTCTGTCAAATTTTTTAAAACCTTTGTTCAGTTTAACTGTCAATTCTTGCTGAAAGGTTTAACATTTTGGTCATTTTTTCACCCCTTTTTGACTATGCCCGATTGGCAGACTGCTGCAGAGTATGAGAAACGCAGAGAGAATTTCTTCAAGGAGCTGGAAATTGTGTTTGCTGATGTGGTATGTGGCTCTTCACTAAGAAGAATTCTCTTTTTTGTGATGGGTTAGTTGCTTTAATGATTCATCACCCACTCAAGTTGTGTACATTTTGCCTATTAGGTGATGGCCATATGTGCAGATTTCATGCTTGTTTTCCTCCCTGCGCCTACCGTCTCTCTCAGACCAGCTCTGGCAGGAACTGCTGGACCTGTTGCAAGGTTCTTCTATGGTTGCCCTGACAATGCTTTCCAGGTAAAAAAAGAATACTTATCTGTAATTTCTCTCGCCAACTTATTGAGTTGAATGAGGAAATGAATTTAAAGGACTCTTCTTTCTCTTTTGCTTTGCAGACTGCTCTTGCTGGAACTTCGTATTCATTCGTGCAGAGACTAGGCTCAGTTGTGGTAAAGAAAATGTTACTCTTTTCCCCCCCCCCCCCCCCCCCGCCTGAGTTTGAACTTGGTTTCTGTCAATGCTTATCAGTCTTTGTTATCAGTAGTTCACACTCTATATCTCTCAATTTTACAGCGAAACGGAACAAAGCTCTTTGCTGTTGGCACTGCATCTTCCCTGGTAAGCTTGTTGTTTGCTTAGATGTATGTTTTTTCTGCTCTCTTACATCTCCTGGAGTAATTCTGTAACCTAGTCACTCCTCTGTTAAGTGGTGAAAAAACTGTTTGGTGGGAGACAACACTTTTTGAGGGTCATTAGTATGGCAAAATCTGATGCAAAATTAGTTGATTAAAACATGTTGCAAGATATTAGAACTGACCAGGAGCAAACTTAGAATATAACTCTCATCATGTCCTTTTTCATTGTGAAATTCATAGATCGCATATTCACTTAACTCTGATTTTGATTACATAAATGGTTGTAGATTGGGACAGTGGTAACAAATGCCCTGATCAATGCAAAGAAGGCTGTGAACAGTACTGGTGAAGTTGAAAACGTGCCTATACTCTCCACCAGTGTTGGCTATGGTATCTACATGGCAGTCTCTAGCAACCTCAGGTTCGTTAACATATGATTTTCCTTCCATTTCCTCATTTTTACGTAGGAACTACTGAACTAGAAATGGATGTGGAAGTTGTCATCGGCTGTAGGAAACCTATTTTTAGGGTTCCAACGATTGTGCTGGGAAATTGGGAATTGGTAGAGATTTAGGGATTTAGAAGAGAATTAGGGATTAGGAACAGAACTGGGGAAGAACGAGAAAGAATGGCCGGCGGCCAGATTAGGGAAAGAACAGAAATTGAGAGGATTTTGGGAGAGAATAGGGTTTAGGGATTTTCTTAATTAGCTTCTTATTGATTACTAATGAATCACAAAGTACATATTTATATAGGAAATACCGGAAAACCCTAATAATAAACCTAATTCTATTAAATGACTACTAACCATAATAAGAATTATCCTAATAATGATTATAATAATAATATAGAAAAATCGTGTTTCCCACATCTCCTCCCCCTTCAGACCAACCTTGCCCTCAAGGTTGACCGACTTGATCCGTTTTCCTGTCTTAATTGGGTGATTCGCGTGTCTACTCCTCCGTGTATTACGCTTCCTTTTCCTCCAATTTTCCATCCCGGGACTTAGATGCCAAGCTTCCACTTTGTGTCGGTCACCAGCTAGGAATTTCATGTCTTTGGGCCCAAGTATGATTACTTTCTGCTCCACGTCCTCTTTGAATGGACATTTCTCTAGCCAAACAAGGCCATCTTCTAATTCCTTAGAATCATACCAAGATGGCTCGATCTGGCGGCCCATTTGAGGTACTAGCACCCCATGAAAATCAAGCCCTTCTGTTACTTGCACCCCATTAGACTTTCTAGTGTTTGGCCTATAGCTGAACCCTCTTTCGGCCCATTTCCTTTCCAACTTCGGCCAAGCTGACTCAGCTTGCTTCCCTTGTCTCACGGCCCACTTAACCCAGACATTACCACGGCCCAAATGACTCTTCCCTTGTTGCTCTGCTCGGCCCACGAGCCCAACAATCTCCATCCTACAGCCAAGCAAATTACCCAAACTAATGGGGCCCTTCACGTGGCCCATTCCAGCGAACCCATCTAGCCCAACGACCCACTTGACTCGGCCCAACGGGAAACTCAGCCAAGGGTTTGAGAGAGGAAAGCCATCATCCCTCTTTGTTTCCTCCGCCGTCCACTCCTTCGACGGATCCTCCCCCGGCAGCCATCCTCCTTGCCGACGATGCGAAAGCCACCACACTTCCGGCGGCTTGCTCTGCCCCACTTCCTCCTCAGGCAACTTATTCCTCACTGATTCCTTCCTCGACAACACCATTCCCGCCTCCATCTCCGGCGGCGAGTCCCCTGCCAGCTCCGCCCTCGCCTTCAACTTCCACTTCCAGTTTGTCGTCGCTTCGAGAGACCCCGTCCGCTGCTCCACCATCATCCGCATCGGATTCAGCTTCTTCTCCACTCTCGACGTCGCCGCGAGAGGAGCCGTCCGCCGCTTCCCTGTCTTCGTCCCAGGCAGCTCCCTCATCGGCGGCTCCTTCTCCGCCGTCTTTTCTGGCGGCCTCGATCCGGCGGACCCAATCTTCGTCGTCCTCCTCAGCGCTTTGTTTCCCGGCGAAAACTCCTCCTTCTCGACCACCGACTCCGGCGAGACAACTCGGGCACTCAACGCCGTCTCCGTTTCCCCATCGGTCACTTGCTTCTCCGTCGGAGCATGTGTCGTCCCGTTCCGCGGCGAGCAGTTCGCCAGGCGGTGGGGAGTAGGCATCGAAAGCCCGCTGCTCTTCCCCTGCTCAACTCTCTCCATAATCGGCGGCGAATTGAACACCAAGGGAGCGCTCGACGACTTTGGAGCAGCCACGTCCTTCTCCTTCTCCGGCGGAGTTTCATCCCTTAGCAGCTTCCGTCTTTGTTTCTTCTTCTTCTTCCTGAATTTCCAGCCCTCGATTGGAATTGTCAAGGGGATTGCGATGATTCCAGATTTTACCTCTTCCAATTCTAGATTCGATGCGGCAGTCAAGGCTGCTAGGGACTGCTCGCCCACCATCGCCTCGAAGGAAGATGCCGAGGTTTGCTGAGTCTCCTCCGCTATTTTCTTCTTCGATGGTTCTTGCTTCTCAAAACGTGGTTCCGGCGGAAATTTCATCTCATTCCCCGGTGGATTCCTCTTCAACGGTGACCGGGACTCGACATCGATCGAGTGAGAGATTGATCGTTCGTCGCCGCCCTTTTCCTTCATCGTCGGTTCCGTGTCACTCCCTCCGATGGTAACTTTCACTGCTTCGTCGGCCTCGGCGGACGTTGGTGGTTGCTCGCCGTCGGCGATTCGGGTCACCGTCTCTGCTTGCACGGTCGGCGACTCTTCGGAGCTCCAACGGCGTCCGATGCGGCGAGCCCGGTCACGCAGCTCTGCCCACGACAAGTTCGAGAGCTTTGAAGAGCTCATCGTCGAACCAGTTGTAGAAATCGTCCCAGTTGTAGAAATCGTCCCCGGTTGAGAGTTGTGGTGAACTCAATTCTCGAACCGGGCTCTGATACCAGATGTAGGAAACCTATTTTTAGGGTTCCAACGATTGTGCTGGGAAATTGGGAATTGGTAGAGATTTAGGGATTTAGAAGAGAATTAGGGATTAGGAACAGAACTGGGGAAGAACGAGAAAGAATGGCCGGCGGCCAGATTAGGGAAAGAACAGAAATTGAGAGGATTTTGGGAGAGAATAGGGTTTAGGGATTTTCTTAATTAGCTTCTTATTGATTACTAATGAATCACAAAGTACATATTTATATAGGAAATACCGGAAAACCCTAATAATAAACCTAATTCTATTAAATGACTACTAACCATAATAAGAATTATCCTAATAATGATTATAATAATAATATAGAAAAATCGTGTTTCCCACATCGGCCAGCCACTAGATTGACATGAGAGAATGATCCTGTGGTGCAGGTACCAAATATTGGCTGGTGTTATCGAACAATGAATCTTGGAGCCTTTACTTCACCAACACAAGCTCATGCTCAGTGCAATCTGTTTCGCTGTTCGAACAGGCAACTCTTACTTGGACTCACTATTGTAAGTTTCCATCCTTGCATAACTCTCCGGCAAGCTTCCCGCACATCTATTCATTATTCTCATGATGATGCAACTTATTTTGGAACAGGTGGGTGGATTATGCTTGCATGATCGGGATCCAAAAGGCTTAAGAAGAGCAGAATGAACTGGCTTAGGCAGATGCAAGAGCTCAGAACCTTTTGTGGAACTTTTTTAGTTTGTTTGACCCCCCATGTTAGTGTAGAATATGAAGAAAGTAGGTTATATATGAATTGGTATTTTACCCCGGGAGGAGATTTAGGCGGCATTGCTTTTGGGAGTTCGTATACATCTGAATTGGTCCATCAGGCTCGTAGTTGCTATTGTTTTTTCGGCTCATCCACTTGTTTTTCTTTTTTATCATTCTCATGATAAGTTGAGTGTATTGATTTCAGACACCCTGAATTGCTCAGTTTGATGGTTGGAGTTGGAGAGAAAGGTTATATATGAAGTACAAAAAAAAAAGGGATTTGATGCATTTCCTTTATCTCCATTGATGATTCGGCTGTCATGATAGCTTGATTTCTTTACAGTTGAGTTGCAGGTAAGCTGAATGCATCCATTTTACCAGCTAGATAATGCATTCGGAGTCCCTGGCGGGGTAGGTTAACCGAAACATACACAGAAACAGCTTCCTACTAATCGCTTAATTAATTGTTTCAATGGCATTCTACGTTCAGGTGGCCATCGAGTCATTTCTAGGCAATGGCTTCATCTTTCAGGCAACTCCTTATCGTGACATCCACGACAGTAGTTCCAACCTTGTGATCGATGTCGCAACATTCCATCACACCAGCCTGGGAAGAGTAATAGCACACAGAAAGAAACAATTTCATGTCAGGGGAAAAAGAACACACTCGAATATCTAAAGAACAGAATCGGCTCCAAACTCACCAGCTTCCTAGTCCTCCCCGGAGAAACCACCCGAATCTCATCCACACCGCTGGCATAGTGTTTCCCGGTCAACTGACAAGGCTGCAAGTTAGCAGGCCACTTTCGAGCATATGTAGTGACGACCTGGTCCCCTACTATTTCAGACGCGTTCTTGTTCTCCTTCCAGTCGTCGACAGACTAGAAGTAGAACACGTGGGGGGACTTGCAAGCATTGCCATTCAGCCACCTCGTGTTGAACATGAAAGCCGGGTACTTAGTGTTCCTAACCCATGCCTTGAACGTCTCGAGGGGCTTGATCAAAGTGCTTCGAGGGATGATGTTCTCGTATATGTAAGCAGAGTATCCCCAGGAAACCGAGAGAGACCAGTTGCTCTGCCAGTGATAGCAGATAGTCTGTTGTGAGAGATGAGATTGGTCGACTTCTGCTGCTTTCATGAGGTGTCGAATGGCCTGAGGGTGGTCCATGGATGGGAAGATTGGATCTATGGCGTCGAAGTGGTGGAGGGTTACCAAAGGGGCTTGTGGATGAGTCGATAGAAAGCCTGAGATGTCACCATGGAGATCAATCTGCATTGGTTGAAGCTCTTTGTTAGAGGTTGTTTGAAAAATGAGACGGATCGAAACGATGACTACTTCCCCTGGTGAATCCCCTTCTGATGAGCTACAGCAACTCCAAGATCAGCCAAACAAGACTGAACCGTATGGTCACTAACGAACACTCGTGGGTACCTCTCAATGCAACCTTCGAGCTTGTTCGACAGTGCCTCGACTAAAGGCCAGCTCCACCAAACCCCACGTCGAATGAGAAATCAGCATTGGACCTCACACTCTCCGAGTTGCCTCCAATGCAGTGGTACTTGGTGTGATCAAACTTGCTTAGAACCTCCACCAAGTTATCCATAAACACCAGTGTGTCATGGTCGCACACCATGAGCCACCTCAGGCCTTCGTTAGCCCGATCGCCCTGTCGATACATGTCGAGGATGGCTCGAACCATTCGAACCTGAGGTGGGTTGACAAGTTTCGGGTAGACCTTCAGGTTGGTGAAATTGCTACTCACTCTGTACGGTGGGGAGGTCGCGGGCCATGGTAGGAACTCTGGCGTGGGCTCCTTGTCTAAGAATACATAACCTTCAAGTGGCAAGAGAATCAGTTCTAAAATCATTCTGATTGTGGAGAAACTCTCTTACCAAAGTCATTACATCTTGTCACATTTGGTCTCCACCAGGACTCTATGTAGTGCTTTCTCAAACCTCCAGGTGGGCAACGACCCTATCACGACGAACCCCACGTGGCTGATCTCCGTTGGCGAAAGATTGACTCGATCCGATGGAAGAGAAGCCCTAATACTACCACCAGCACTACTACTAGTGCTCCATTTGTGTGGAAGGGTTAGAAGAGGAACGATAGTAGTAGTGTTGGCATGGTTATGGAACAATAAGGTGTAGAGCAAGAAGAGCAGTAGCCCTGAGGATTATTTCCCTAAATACAGTGAAAATTAAAAGTAATTCCCACAATACATCACTTTTATAAATATTTCCCAAAATACCAAAGTTTAAACCGGTTCGAGTTTAGCAAACTCGAACTAGTTAACAGATCGATTGTCAAGGAATCGATCCATGTGCATCGAGTGAAACAGCCGCGATTGGCTGGAACAGGACGACGCGGATCGAGTGTGGTAAACTCGATTTGTTTGGATCGAGTACGTTACACTCGAACTAGTTGACATGGATCGCTGACATAAGCAGCGCTCCACCCTAGATCGAGGTAAGAAGAATCGAATTACACTGTTCGATGGCCAAGCCCGCGATTTAGTGGCGACGCGGATCGAGTGGGGAAAAATCGATGCACGTGGATCGAGCTCCCTAGAATCGATCCAATTGACGCGGATCGATGACGTCAGGCCCGCTCCACCGTAGATCGAGTTTGCCAGACTCGATCTGGGTCGTTCGATGTGCTTTCACTCGAACTGCAATTGACGCGGATTGAAGGCAGGAAAATCGAGGCAGTGGTTCGAGTCCTCTAAACTCGATCCACATCAACCACCTGCACCTATAAATTCCCCCTCCCATTCCACCAAATCCCACACCACTCCATTCTTCTTCTTCTATTCCTCCCACCACTCTTGAAGAAAAAAATATGCTCTGTGGTTGCGGCTAAGCCCGATCTTCCGCATCAGATTTTTTTTCTTTAGTTTGGTACTTCTATCACTCAAAATTGCCGAGATGGATCCGAGTATTTACGATCCTAGATTATACATTCAAGGCGGACCGCGAGAAACCGATTTGTTGGATGAGCAACCTTACCATCGGTCTGAAAGTGTTTGGGCGGCAGATCCGGTAAGCACTTCCTCATTTACTTTTCTTTTTTTAAATGTGATAGTATTCTTCTAATTTTTTTATGTATAATAATTAATATTTTTTTTCTACAGGAACAACTTGACGTAATCACCCATCGGTCGCTATCTCGCTTGCCTAAATGGGATGATCGTATCGAGACCTTCATTGAAAGAGCGCGATTGCTGAGGGTGCGAAAGTTTGTGGGATGGAGATGGACAACAATCTTCTTACGACAATGGTGGAAAGATGGAGAAAAGAAACGCACACATTCCACCTTCTAGAGGGAGAGATGACGATTACGTTGAAGGACGTAGCCATGCTGACAGAGCTTCCAATCAATGGTGATGCAATAATAGAAAGTTCACAGAAACCATTGAATGGTTGGGGCCAATTTATAAGCGAGCGTTTAGGTATCAACATCCCCGAGGAAGCATAAGAAGGTCGTCGTGTACCACCTCTACACAAGTCTATGTTATTGATACCTTGGCTAGTGAGGACCGTTGGGGAATTACCAGAGGATGCCACGGATGCTCAGATAGAGAGGTATGCTCGCATCTACCTTATTTGTTTGGTTGGAGGATTTTTGTTTCCGAACAAGTCTGGTGGAAATATGCATTGTATGTGGCTCCGAGTTCTTTTGGAAGATTGGGACGAGATTGGGAGAAAAAGTTGGGGATCTGCTTGTTTGGCCATGATATATTCGGAGTTGTGCAAGTGTACTGATCCGAAAACAAAGCAAGCGGGTGGTCCCATGTTCATCCTCCAACTATGGGTTTGGGAGCACCTTCCTACTTTCGCTCCGATCTGCCCTGCCAACAGTTGGGGTCCTGATGAGCCACTACGACAATGGGCTTATGGTGCTAGATGGATTGGAGCTATCACGAGTGGCACCTCTCTAGACGGGTACCGCCAACATCTTGACCGTATAGAATTCAACGAGGTAACATTCTAGCTTATGATTATTTATTTCTAGTTTATTTGTTGAAGTTATTTGTCTTAGCCCATGATTTATTTTTACGAAAGTGAATAGCCTAATTTATTTGTTGAAATTATTTGTCTTAGTGTTAGCCTATGATTTATTTTTATGATTACGAATTCTATTTTATTTGTTGAAATTATTTGTCTTAACCCATTATTTATTTTTATAATTATGAATCCTATTTTATTTGTTGAAATTATTTGTCTTAGCCCATTATTTATTTTTATAATTATGAATCCTATTTTATTTGTTGAAATTATTTGTCTTAGCCCATTATTTATTTTTATAATTATGAATCCTATTTTATTTGTTGAAATTATTTGTCTTAGCCCATTGTTTATTTTTATGATTATGAATCCTATTTTATTTGTTGAAATTATTTTCTTCGATTTTAATTTATATGTTGTGTTGAAACTTAGGTGGAGTGGGATCCGTATCCGAACGGAGCAAAGGATTTGTACGAGTTGCGATATCCTGAGGATCGCCGACTCTGGTCGTGCAAGTTGCCTGTGATTTGCCACAACATTGTCGAGTGGCACCTCCCGGATAGATGTGTCCGACAATATAATTGGGCGCAACCGATTCCTCTCACACCACCGGACGTACATAAGTCACTCCACAAGTACAGCAAGGATCTGCGGGGTACAATAAGTGATTGGCCAACCAAGCACCATAGATGGATCGAAATGTGGGAGTCTCGTAAGACGTATGCAATTGATGGGATCCCAATGATGAGGCCAATGGGGTACCAAGATGAATACATGGTTTGGTACCGCAAGTTCACAAAAAGATGGGTAACCAAACGTGGCGCCGTGATCGGTTCATTGGTAAGCATAATATCTATTTACTATAATCACTTTAGCTACACAAATAGTGTTTACTAACATGTTTATTATTTAGGTTGATGGGTTGGAACTTGCATCAATGACGTTGGAGAATGAACCAGAAGATGCTGTGCCAGGGGAGAAAATTTCATTCTTGAAGAAGCTCTTCAAGAATCTCTTGTCATGTTCGCGGGAAATCCGAAGGGATGTCATTGCATATCCTCCTGCTCCTGCACCGCCACGTCCTTCCTCCCACGCCATTGAAGTTGAATCTCTCCCGCCATCACCACCAAGGAGGAGTAAACGTCGGCAAGAGCCAGTTAATGTCCCTGTGCATGTACGAGAAGATGTGGCACTTCCCCACCCATACGAGTATGGATTCCCTCCCGCCAGAAGGGAATTCGGAGAGGGATCATCAGGTTCTGCTCAAGGAGGGGGAGGAGGAGCCTACTATTCATCGTATGGTCATCAATTTCAAACCCCGCATCAAAGCTTCCAGACTCCCATTCCAAATGTTTATTATGGTCCTCCAGCCACTGCAACCCCACCTCCATTGCCACGAAATACTGGAATTGGATATGGAGTTCGTTCAAGGAATAGACGTCGAAGGGAGGGACGCGGACGTGGTGAACAAGAGTGAGGTGTTGTTTAGAGTTGTTAAGTTGTTCTATTTCTTTAGAGTTGTTAAGTTGTTCTATTTCTAATGACGTTGTTCCGTTGTTCTATTTCTTTAGAGTTGTTTAGTAGTTCTATTTCTTTAGAGTTGTTAAGTTGTTCTATTTCTAATGACGTTGTTCCGTTGTTCTATTTCTTTAGAGTTATTTAGGTGTTCTATTTCTAATGAGGTTGTTAATTTGTTCTATTTCTCATGCATTGTTAAGTTGTTCTATTCCACAACATAAAGTTCTTAAATCACACCATAAAATTCAAATTACAACATAAAGTTCTTAAATCACACCATAAAATTCAAATTACAACATAAAGTTCTTAAATCACACCATAAAATTCAAATTACAACATATAAATCACACCATAAAATTCAAATTACAACATAAAGTTCTTAAATCACACCATAAAATTCAAATTACAACATATAAATCACACCATAAAATTCAAATTACAACATAAAGTTCTTAAATCACACCATAAAATTCAAATTACAACATAAAGTTTCAATTATCAGTCGATGGCCCTGGACACTGGCGCCTATCATGCCCTTCAACTCGACATGCAGAGCACTTCTTCGGGCGGCGTCGCTGTGTCCTTGATCTATCCATTTCATTTGCAATTCGGTTAACTCTAGGTCAACCTCTAGTACGCTTCATGTGCTCGGGAGGGCACACTACAGGTCCATCATACTGGGGCCAATATGCTTCATGAGCCAAGGGAAAGAACGACCCTTCCCAAACTCTGACCACGTATGGAGTCTTGTAGTATGGACTAACAAATATCAAAGGATCCAAATTAACGCTTCTCGCAGCTGCATATGCATGAGAGCAAGGCAGGTGTCTCCCTTGAAACTTCCCACAAGTACATTCTCCAATTCCATTCTTTGCATCCAGTATAACTGTTTGAGCATTACCACCCTTTGAACTATCTGGTCCACTTCCTGTTACTACTGAAAAGCGGGAATCTCTTCGACTAAATAAAGTCACCTTATGCCATTTTTCCCTTTCTGACCATGGTTTCATATCATCCGTAATCTTCTTTGGGATGTAGATTCCAGCATTCAACATCTGATATGCTGCTTGGTAGCGTTCAACGAACCATGTCACCGTACGAAAGAAGGTATGCAAGACTATAGATGAGATAGGCATTGCACGAAGACCAACATACAAACCATTGAGGCACTCACCCATGTTCGTTGTTGTTATTCCATACCTATACCCTTCGTCTTGATGTAACGTCCACCTCTCATAAGGATGAGTTTCTAGCCAATCTGCACCTTCAGAGTGGACCTCCCTTATGCTCTTCATTTTGTCTACAAACTTTCGAGTCTGAAAAGCAATAGCTACAATAAAGCAAAATAAGGTTAGTAAAGGAGTATACGCATTCAACCAATTGATATAATCACAACATCTTATTTGTTCTTACCAGCGTGCCAAACTGCACGTTGTCCATAAGTTCTACCAAAGTGCTTCCCGTAATTGCTTTTGAAATGTCGTATGCACCATCGCCACTTCCACCCTAGCTCCTCGGGCAGGTCGTAGAAAGCATGTCTAATTCCATGGTGTCGATCAGAAAGTATGGCAATGTCCTTCCGTTGAGTGACACGAGTGTATAGTTGGGAAAAAAACCATGCCCAACTTAAGTTGTTCTCCGATTCGACTATAGCAAAAGCAAGGGGGAAAAGTTGCATACTGCCATCAACACTAGTGGCAACGAGTAGAGTGCCCTTGTATTTGCCGGTCAGAAAGGTGCCATCAACTTGGATTATTGGCAGACAATGGGTGAAACCATCAATGCAAGGTTTGAATGCCCAAAATAGTCTCTTAAACACGCGTTTAGCACCTCCATAGAAATATTCGTAACTAGGCACAAAAACAGACCCAGGATTCTTGTCCTCCATTGCAAGAATCAAACGAGGCATGTTAGCAAATGACTCTTCCCAATCACCATACACCTCTGCCATAGCTTTTTGCTTCCCATGCCATGCTTTCTTGTAACTGATGGTATAGCCATGTCAATTCTTCACTTCAGCGATGACACTCTTCACGGTGATCCCAGGTTGTGCCTCAATCAGATGTTTGATTGTTTGTGCAACCTTCCTTGCACTCAATTGTCGGTGATCTAGAGAAATCAGTGACGACCTACAAGTGTGGTTGTTGTCTGTCTTACGAATGAGCCAAGCCCCATTTCTTTTAACATATGCCGCCCGAACATGCCACATGCATCCGTCGCCATGGTTCTCGCAACGAACATGAATTTGTTTAGTGTCAGAAGTGATGACACGATATTGAAAGCTTCTTCGCCGTTTCTTTCAATGCATCGACCACCTGTGGCTTTCCTGCAAATGTTTGGCCAACCACGAATCCAGAGTCAGGAGTCCAGATTGGTATAGGAGGGAGGTCAGGATCGTCGTTGTGAGCATAGAGAGGATGTTGTGGCACCATCGTGTAGTGAGGTGTGGGGGGCTCAAATTCCCCCTCGTCAACTTCCAGATCTTCACCATCTGAACTACTCATTGATTCTAACTCTTCGTCTTCCACGTCGCTTGCCTCGCTAGTGTACGGAGGACTTGGTTTATCCACATATGGATCATTGTTGATGCCAGATGCTGCTGTAGATGCTTGTCTGGGTGCCCTTATGTAATCCCATTCTCCACCCCATACTGGCCACTCCTGTCCGTCATATTCCACCAATGGACCAGTTGCAGTTCGATCCTCGTATGTTGGCCATGGTGCATCATGCCGCACTCTGAAATCTCCTGAACCGGAAAAACCTCCCGATCCTTCACCTTGTTCGGTATAACCGCCCCCACCATATTGGCCAACAACTTCTGTCTCGACATACACCTCAGCAGTTGGAAATCTGTTCTCTGCGATAAATCTCATCATCATATTAACATCATCATCGTCAGACAAAACTGATCCTTCATATACAAGTGCATAATCCTTGTAAACCGGCATACGGTAAGTCATCTTGCATACTCTTCTCCCTCCTATGCAACATCGTTCCGCACAAATATGGCTGAGTTCTTGCCAAGTAAATATGCTCTTAATCGGGACAGTACTTGATTCACCATCTTCGTAGTCAATACTATCATGAAAATGGGTAATTCGACCATTCCACCGAATCAATAAGTCGAATTTTCGAAAATTTCTACCCATTTCTGCAGTTTATAGAAGCAGCTCATTACATACAGTACAAACAATTCTAAATTAATCTAAAATTCTAATACGCTCATTCAAACAACGTAAGCAGAACTTACCTCCAAAAATTTTCTTCTTTGCTGAGCTATGGTGCTCCAGCTGCTGCAGTTTGTGTTTGGAAGAAAGAAGATAGAAAGTAAAAGAGCTGCCAGAATGTGCTAAGTGAGGGCTTTTTATCCTCGTAAACTGATGCAGTGGTTCGAGTCTAAAACACTCGATCTACACTAGTTCGAGTTTATTAAACTCGATCTACGCCATCCAATAATTTCCCCCCCTGCACCCTATTCTGGAACATGTCGGACCGAAAGCGACTAGACAGAATTATTGAGCAAGTAGTTCGAGTTTAGTGTAATCGAACTACACTAGTTCGAGTCCCTAAAACTCGATCTATGATAACAAAGAATCTTATCCCTGCAACCCTATCCTGAAGCATGTCGGTGGGCCAGTGGTTCGAGTCTTTTGGAATCGATTTACGTAGTTCGAGTCATAGGGACTCGATCTAGTGCAGATAAAGATCGGGTGTATTAAAGTCGTTGCACTACATCGAGGTTTCAGGCGTCGATCTAATTAAATCGAGTTGTCTATGCTCGATCTACTGGATCGAGTCCTTTGTCATCGATCTACTAAGATCGAGTCTTTTGTCATCGATATATGTTGTTCGAGTTTGTCATCGTCGATCTAGTTAGTAGTTCGAGTCCTATAAACTCGAACTCTTTGAAACTTGGGTAGTTTGGGAAAATTTTATAAAACTTATGTATTCTGAAAATTATGTATAATTTTTACTGTATTCTGGGAATTGTCCCCAGCCCTGAAAGGAATATGCTTTTGCACAGGACATCCAGATGGAGCTGTTGGAAGTACTTTTGCTGCATTTTGTGTTGAAAGAAGTTGAAACTTGAAAGTGGATGGCATTGATCCAACTAAAACCTGCCTGCTGCAGTGCTGCTTGCTTAGCAGGAGAGGAAGTCGTGAATGGATCACGTGAACAACAAGGAAGGGTTGATACATGTTGGACCGGGTTAGCTAATTGGGCCGGGCTGTTGTGCTTTAACATGGGCTTGTTTAGTAAGATAGTTGGAGTTCGGACTCTTTTATCTTTTTGCAAAAACTAGTGTAGAGATAAGGAAGCAATATTTCACCAAATTACAAAAACTAATACACCTTCATAAATTGTCAAAATTTGTCACCACCATTCTTTTGAGGAGCTAAAATGCTTTTCCTTTACTACTTATGACTGTTTTCCTCTATGCGATGACTTCATCTCTGGTACAAGACCTTATCTTGATCACTGTAATGTCTGCTCCATCCTCGTACTCAACATCACAACATTCAATCACACCAGGCTGAATATAGAAAAAACAACCACCAAACATAAGCAAAAGAAAGA